AAATAGAAAAAAAGAAAAAAAGAAAAAAAAAGACATTAATTTTAAAAGACATCTTTGGAAGATAATAGTTTTCCATAAAGGAAAACTATTTTTTTCAGAATTAAGGCTGACCCTCTGTCCTTGCCTTATATCTTTTTGCCTTTGACCCAATGCATCTTTTAATAACCTTTCAAAGGCACCATTCTAAGGATGAGGTATCAGTCTTGATTTTGATAATGGCTTTAAAAAAAAAATTCTCAAGAGGCTAAAGTCATCTAAAAGTAGGCTTTTACACAAGCACGGAAGATCTCACCTAACGACAATAACTTTCCATCAGAAACAATATAATAACGCTTGGGCCATACTCACATGAAGTGCTGCTTCTTTACAAAACACTTGCTCAGTGCTGGAGGGTACATGATAGAGGGAACTCATACATGTCTTGCTGACACCCCTCGCTCCCAGGAAACTGTGGGATATAGTGCTGGACATGACGTTACCTTGGGTACATGACAGTCAGCCCCTAACCAGGCTCTGTTTCATGGGCCTAGGTGGAACTCGGTTTCAGTCCTTGGTAAGGTATGAACTTGTGGTAATTGGGGCAACTGCGGCAAATGTTTCCACTCTTCTTTTCTTCCCAGTCCTATCTGATTTTACTGGTGTTGCTTTTTAAATGAAATGAGATCAATTAAAAAGAGTTGATGATGGTGGGCTTATTGGGAAATCTGTTAGTGTTATGGTGTCTAAGTGTCTGACTAACAGGGCCTAGGAGCAACTACATCAGAAAGGTACTTTTCTACTTTTTTCCTTGCAGAATTCTAGGCAGAGTCTGGCGCTGGAGTTGGCTGTCATGTCCAAGTCTGTCAGCTTTTTTTGTTTGAAACAGCAAGGGTAAGATGAACTGCAGGGTAAGATGGGCTGTTTTTGAATACGATAGTCCAGTTATGATACCACTTCTTTTTTCATTTTCTTTGGTTTTCTTCCTTATTTTTTTCTTTTCCCTTTCTGTTCTTTTTTTGGCATTGATGTTGGAAGTTTGGCATAATCTTTCATTTATATAAAGATGTGTTACCTTGCTGGACCAGTTCCTTAAATAATTCAATATGAACACTAAAATTTAACAGTAATAAAATAGTCCATCTTGCCTTCATTCCATTTTACCCAGGAGATTTAAAAACAAGCATAGTGACCAATTAACAATAAGTGATTGTTTTGGTACAATGGTATAGTGGATATGGTAAAACTGTTTCTTTGAAAACAAGTTTCCAGATACTTCTAAAAGATTTTATGTAAAGTTCTTACAATGAAGCTTGAAATTGTTTATTTGACAGCATTAGAAATTTCATTCCATTCAATTATAATGTTATGGAAAAAAGTCCATACATGCTCATTTATAATAAATATTTGTTGTTGTAAATTACATTGAATTTTATTTCTTCCTATTTTTAGTAATTAGGCACAAGAGGAGTTTATGTGCTTCAATTTGTCTCATTAGACTCTAAATTAGCATTAATAATTATGCAAATTACTATACAGTGTCTGTCGCCCCCTCCATTCTTTAGTGCCATGAGCAGGCAACTCCAGCAATGCATTATAATCTATCTTTATCTAGTTTATGCACAGCAGTCTAATATTTTCATTGCTGCTCTATCAAATTAAGTGGCATAGCCACCCATGTTTATCTGAAATTGTGGGGCTAACTATAGAGATGGGAGATGTTAATTTTTTAATCTAAGCAGTCAAGAAACAACCCTTTACAGCAATAACAATGGCAAAAATCAAAAGCATATTTATAATAGATTTCAGATTTTGTATTTCAGATATGAAATACATTGTTTCATATCTTCTCCTTGCATCCATAGCTTATTTTTATTTATTCAAGTGAGTCTTTAAAAAAATACATAAATAATGTTTATTTAGTGCCTTGAAGATAAAGGACTGCCTAAGTGCTTCAAAATTAGTATTAACTTAGAGGTTCAGTCCAGCTAGGATTTTTTCTGGAAAGCCAGTTCAAGTAACTGTTTTTTGCAAATTGCTATAAATTTTAAAAAGGCACTGATCATTGTGTCTCCCATTACTATCTTTTGATTCCCACAGCTCCAAAAAGATCTGTCTTTATAAGTGTAATCAGTTCTTATTTTTCATTTCAATTGTGTGTGTTTGTACAAGCAGTACATGTAAGCCTGTAGCTTAAAGATTTTTTTGCACAGTGATTCCATCTCCCCACTGTGGCAAAAAGTGCTGAACACTTATTAATTGTTTTCTGTGCATTTGTTTCACCTTTCTCCCCTGGTTTTCGTTAGGTTCTGAGCTCATGCCCAAAGCCCTCTCCACCAGGATAGTGGGAGGCATTTGGTGGTTTTTCACACTTATCATCATTTCCTCGTACACTGCTAACCTAGCCGCCTTTCTGACAGTGGAACGTATGGAATCCCCTATTGATTCTGCTGATGATTTGGCCAAGCAGACAAAGATAGAGTATGGGGCAGTTGAAGATGGAGCCACCATGACTTTCTTCAAGGTAAGCTTGATATTCTGTTTGAAAAGTTCCTATATCCCAATTGTGGCGGGAAAGTTTGTGCACCTCGCTGGAGAGCAACGGATATGATTCCTATTGCTGTCAAAAGCAGCTGAAAAATCACTTTTTTGAGGATTTGCAACATAGCAAAGGAAGCAAATGCAAAACCTTTCATGGGAAATAAAAGGCAATTTCTTTGATGATTTTCACTTAAAGAATTTAATTTATAGCAGTGAAGTAGGTGAAGAAACCTGAACACTTTGCTCAGACAGATATATAGCTGTATACAAGGAGGGGTTTTGTTGGATTAGGAGTTAGAGTATCAGTTCAATAGCATTATCCTTAATTGTAGTCTTTGTTCAAGCAACTGGACTACACTAATTTGAAATATAGTGAAATGTGCTGATGGATTAGAGACAAATCTTTCTTTTTGAGCTTCATCAAGCATTTAAGTAGTACTTAAATTAGTGAGAAGTATGCATGAAGGGAGAGAGGATGGTTTGCTTCATAGCACAGAGGTGTCTCAGATCTCCCAGAGAGAGGTCTTTAACAATATTTGTCTGATCTTTGGTATATTTTGAAGACTTTTAGCTAGTCTATTCTGGTTTTATGAATTATTATGCTGTCACTTAAAGCTTTGCTGAGTCTGTTACATTGGCGTTTGAAATTAGACAAACTGAGGTCCAAGGTAACTTGTAAACTGGTGCAGAAATTGAAGAATGTGTACTCAGTTCCTCTCATCAGATTCAGACAGTACTAAATTTATTTAGATATCAAGGCTAAATAGTCACTATTTAATCTTACGACCTTAGAGCCAATCAAAGGGTACATATAGTTTTAATTTTTAAAAATAATTATAGGGCTTTCAGCTTCTGCTTGGAAATAAAAATCTATTCAACTTCAGTATCTTGGAATGTTTTAGGCTTCTTAACTTATGGCATACATTGGGAAGGTTCTGAATATTTTCCCCAGAATAATTGTTGGAAAAAGAGCTGATGAAGTTAATAGAATTAACTAATTAATTAGAGGTCTCTTTCCTGATGTCAGGAAATATGTGAAGCAGTTAAAAGAAACAGCATGGAAAGTTTAAAGACTGAGGTTTTTAAAAGAGTCAAAATGATTTAAATCTCAGGACATAAAAAGATGACACAGGGTATTTATTGAGTTACCAGAAAACACTACAGGGCTTTAATTTCATTTTTGTCTGGCAGAAAATTTTGTTCTAATTCAGATTCAAACTGTGGTCTCTAAAATATTAGCAAGCAAGTTTAAATTACACTGTCTTTCCTTCCTGTTGCCAGAAGCACTTTTCTCTGCATCTTCTTAACTTCTAGTTTTCCTTCTCCTCACCCTTAACATTCTCTCTTATTCACTGTTTTTCCTTTTTTGTATGAGTGTAATCTGTGGGGCTTTTAAGTGCATGGAGACTATTTCTCTTTCTCTGTATGTTTTTATCCTCTGCATATTAATACACTGCTCCCTTTTCTCCACAATTCTTTTTCTGCTCTCTTTCTTTTTCTGTTTCTATCCATCTAGATATATTTTCTGTTTATCTAGTATATTGTATATTGTATCCAAGAACTAGAGAGGACTTCTAATGAAATAGCAATTGTATATCCTACACAGAAGATTTTTGTTTGCAGTTGAAATAACCTAGACTTATACACAACAAAGTTATGGTGTCAGATCACATAATTTGGTATTGCTTTTACTACATTAATGAATTCTCCTTCTTCACTATGAATGAAAAAAGAGAAATCACAACAAAACACAGGAGGTCTTTATTCAGCTGATACATTTTAGGCAAATTAAGGTTTATTGTGTGGGACAAATATTTTCCGGGCTTTATGTGTGGACAGATCATGGTTAGTAAGTGAAATGCACTAATACTTATGAACTTCTGTGCCAGCTAGCAATCGAATGATTACAAATATTTTTGTGATATTTACTATCTTATCTAGTAGAATGTAAATTAATTGGTATTATTTACCTAATGAAATAGGTTCAAACTTAAGCATTAGAAGTAGCTACAACTGTTCTTGTAGTTCAGCCAATAAGTGAAAATCATGCTCAAAAAGAAAATAAAATGGAAACTATATAATCTCATTTGATTCATTCAGTGTCTGAAGCAACTTCCAGGTGGCAAGTAGAGTTTGCTTGATGTAAATGCTATTCACTAGAGCTACCTGTGTAAGGAATATAATCTAATTATATATATATATATATTCCATGAAAGATAAACAAAAGCATTTGTATACAGCCTATTATCTATTGGAGTAAAATTTCTAGTAAAACTAGGTATTTTTACCTGGTGAGATTGAGTTATCAGAAAACAGAATACTGTATTTCTGGTCAACACAGTATATCTGTATTTGTGTGTTTTGAAAATATACTTCTATTTTGTATAAGCAAATTGCTTCAGGAATGTAATTTCCTTACATGCAGAAAATGAAAATGCAAGTAAATATTTTAAAATAAGACTGTAAGAGGAATTGCCTTAAAAGGTGCTACTAGAGTTGAACAGCTCATTGGTACAACTAATAAGTAACAATATAAAAAGCACTGAAGAGCAGGAAACTGATACAGGAAGATTAAAAACTATCAGAAAAATATCTTAAGTGACAGAAATTACACTGGATGCAGATAGTATAGCAAAGTATAGATAGTATAGAAAAGAGTTGTGTATTTTTTCTGCATTGTGTGTGGAAAAACCAGGATAAATATTCATATTTTAAACTTTCTGGTTTATCAGTAAGCTAAAGGAGGGTTTTAAATGGTATGTATTATATTCCCTGATATATAGATAAGTGAATATCAAGTAGGAAATAACACTACCTTTTTGTATGGCATTAGGGAAACTATTAACGAACTATTGTGTCCTGTTCTGGTGACCATACTTCAAAAATATGTTTAAAATTGGAAAGGGTTCATTAAAGGTGAAAGAATGACTGTAGGTCTGGAAATAAGCATTGTAGTTAGAGGATAAAGAAGATCGGTCTGTTTAATCTCCTGGAGAGAAGGTTAAGAGGTGACTTGATCATGGTCTGTAAGTGCCTTAATGGGAATGAGACTTTTGACAGCAGATGACTGTTTAATCTAGCAGAAAAAGGCATAATGAGATCCAGTATTTCAAAGCTGAAGTTAGGCAAATTCAGACTAGAAATAAGGTGCATATTTTTAAGAGTGAGAGTAATTAACCACTGATACAACTTATCTAGGAGTGGGTTGGATTCATCCATCACATGCAGCTATTGTGAGGAAAATAGATACAGCATAGCCCAAACATGTTACGCTTTTGATTTAGAGGCTACTCAATGAAATAGATAGCCTTCATTATGCAGGAGCTCAGATTAGATTTTAGTAGTCACCTCCTACTTCAAAAATCTCTAAGAGATTTCTTAGACTTCTGGGGGAGGTTGCACAAAGATGATTGAGAGAATACATGTATCATCTGTGTGTATGTTTTTCCTTAGCTGCTTTGTCTTGTTGTAATGAGAGTGGATTGAGTAAAACAGTGGCTTTACGTTACAACAAGAAATGAAGGCACCAGATGGTTTCCTAATGTTAAATGAAATTATCATATCTTGGTAATAGTTATTAGTTCCAATCACAGTGAAGCTTGGTAGCTGCCCATGAGACTGACAGTAATTTCTGCATAAATTATCTACATAGCAGTCCATTGAATTCTTTCTTAAAAAAACTTTGGAACCTGGCCAAAGCTGTGTGGTGCTAATACAAAGGAAGGGTGTTTTTTGAAGGAGAACCTAAATGGGAATCAGACAAACAAATTAACTGCTAGATTAAAACCTGCTAAAGTTTAAATCTTGGAGAGCACAGGGAATATATGTTGCAAAAGCTGTTAGCCTTTTGAGTCAAACACCTCTGTGAAATAGCTTCAATGAAAAAGGAGAATGCTGTCTCCAGAGGTTTATTAGGTCCTCCGGATCATTGTATGCCTCCTCATGGTCTGAGAAACATGACATAACAACTACTTTTAGAAGCAAGAAAGTGGAGGAAATTTTCAATGCTCTCTCCTCTTAATATCTACTTATCTAGTCTGAGTATGGAAAGGAAGTAGTTTTACAAGTCTGTTATATGCCTGGTGGGTCTGGTGGGCCATTTCTTTTGGGAAAAATAAAGAAAACCTTAATATTATCCAAGAATTAGAAGGAAAGAAATGTGAAAGTAGATTCTAAGCCATACCTGCTGCTGGGCTTGTAGTTTCCACTCCTGATACATGTTTTGGTGTGTCTTAATTTGTGGACTTTTTCTTAGTTATGAACTTCTCTTCCTTTGTCTTGACTGCTTTTGTCACTATTGACCCTTTTCAAGTTTCAGAAGTCTGTCTTCCTTCCTGTTTGGAATAAAATAAAAAGCCTTTATTATTTTCATGAAAAGACCTTATCTCACACTAGCTGTTCTTGGATAAAAAAGCTCAGATTTTTCATTGTTGCTGATTTCTGTGGTCTCTCGGTCTATGTTTCTCAAAATTCCATGGTCTGTTTTCTTGCTGAATGACAGTTCTGAAATTGAGAACAATGTTAATTCCACCCTGCTTCTATTTGTACCACAGTTCCCTATCCTCACACACAAAGAACTACTACAGCACATATGCTTATATATAGTCTACAATGTTAAGACTTTTTTTTGGTGAAGTTGCTGTGTACCTTTGTTTTTCTCATAATTTTTCATATCTGTACCTTTCAATGTCAGAATTTTTTTCTTTCTATGTTTTTGTACAGTGCTATGCACAATGGAACTTTTCTCAGTTATGGTTACTAGACATTTGCATACCAAATAGTAAAAAACAAAGTAATTTTTCATTCTCTAATAGCAGTAGATTAGTGTCATTACTTCTGTATCACAAATTAAAGGTCTTCTCAGCTCTCTGTGAGAGTCGTATATTTTATATCCTTGTTTTGCTGATAAGGAAGCTGAAGCACTAAAAGGAAATGCATCTTTTTCAAGATCACTTGGTGAAAGGCAGATAGGGCACTAATTCA